AATACAGAGTGTTCTGCTCTGTGTTGATCTGCAGGTGTTTCTGTTCCAGCCTGCACCTCCAGACCAGTTGTTTGGGAGCCTGCAAGGGGTTAGAAGGAAGAGGGGTTTGAGGTGGGGGCAGTGAAGCCTGCAGGCAGATGCCTGTGGAGGACATTCCTGAAACAAGAAGAAGGCTGGGACTGGGGTTGGGGCTCAGCATTCTGTTCATACCAATGCATAAAATTATACCTAAATGCTGTCTGGCTCCTCTCAGCTCAGTCCATCCTGCTGGGATGGGAGCTCCTGGACTCAGGCACTGAGAGGTCAGAGGTTGGTTGGGATCTTGCAGAGATCACAATAACTTAGGGGTATCTATTCACTAGGCCACAGGAGCCCTCCAGAGCCCCAAGTCCCTCACTCCAGTGTATAGGAAGAGTTTTATTCTTGTCCCTCTGCTGGGTGGTCTTCTGAGTTCTGGAGCAGGAAATGACAGGAAGCCCTTCTGGTCTGATGAAACGGTTCTATCAAAATACCATCAGCAGATTTACTTCTGGACCTTTTCTCCAATCCAATGACCCATGGCAGCTAGAATTATCCAGATTCAAGAACACTTGTTACCACAACACCTAGAGATAGAAAAGACAGACATCCACATCCCAGAGCTGAGAGGAGCTTCTCATTTTTTTCACTCAAGGCTCCTGGTGTTTTTTGTTTGTTTGTTTTTTAACTCTTGGAATTTTCCTTATTTCTTAAAAATCTTGGCAGTCCACAAAATTATATTTTATGTCAACTCTCGCTGAATGTAGAAGAAGGAAGTTTCAGAATATCTATCTATTCTACCCAACTGCCTGAAAGTGAAAGTCTAGCTCACAAGTAGTTTAACAGAAAAATGATTAGTCCTTGTGTGAAAGTTAGTTTTGTAATTCATCTTAGAATGGAACACAGGAATCTGCTAAAGACAACCAACTCATTTTCCTACACTTAGATAGAAATTATTTAACTTTCTGTATTATGAACAACTTTCAACATCTGTTAAAAATTATAAACATTAGAAACTGCAGGAAAACACACTTCACACTTCTAAAGTCAATATTGAATATCCTATGTGACTAAATTTAACTTTAACTTAAAGATTGAGAATTCAGGGTGCCTCTGGACTTCCCTCACTCACAAAACATCTGCAGCTTCTTCCAAATAATAAAAATAAGGTGACACATAATCACATTTGAAAGTTAATAAATAATGCCCACACACCATAGTATTGCATTGAATTATTGTTAATTGTTACTCATATTACTTTCAAATGACTTGAAGATGAAATATTTATAATCCATATTAGAATAGAAATAGTAAGCATAAATATTTTGAGTGGCTAAATGAAATTTCAATAGCTAAACAGGCCAATAGCATGAACTGATGATTTATGAATGTGAATGTCCTGTAGGAGCAGGCTTTCCCCTCTTATTTTGATCTGAATTTTCATTTGGAAAACTGATGGTCCTTGGTCCCCCTGCAGGCATATGACCTCAAGAGGCAATGTGTGCCCAGCTGGTGCAGCTCAGTGGTAGGGCATTAAGCCAGGAACCCAGAGTTCACAGGTTTGATTCTCAGTCAGGGCACATGCCTGAGTTGCAGGCTCAATCCCCTAAGAGGGGTGTGCAGGAGGAAGCTGATCCTATGATGTTTCCCATTGATGTTTCCATCTCTCTATCTCTTTCCCCTCCTCTCTCTCTAAAAAATTTCAATAAAATATATATTTTTAAAAAGAGTCAATGCGTATGTTGACTTTGTATTTTTATCAGAAAGAAAAGGGACTTTTTCAAGGTCAGAGCTACCAGTAACTAAGAGCCAGTTGAGCAGAATGGAAGGGGAGTCATGGCCCTTGTCCCCTAGCAGCCCCTAGAAACCAGTTCTGAGCACCAGTGAAGAGTGAGACTGAGTCAGGTGTAACTTTAATCTTCATGGAACTCTGTGTCCAGGTAACTAAATTTGACAGAATTAGACACGAGAGATTTTCCTTCCCTGCCCTTATCCCAGACCACACAGCCTGGTCTTCCCGCTGAGTTCTCAGGGACTGGTGGATGGAGAAAGCTCTGTCTTGTTAAAGTCACCAAAAGCAGAGGCAATGATGGAGGTCTTGTTTCTAGAATGGAAAGAAGATTCAGGTTTTAAACATGCCAACACACACACACACACACACACACACACACACACACACACACACCTTTTCTCATGAATACCCAAACTGTTGGGAATTATTCAAATATAAGCAGGATTTTAAATACGGGGCAACCCCAAATATAACCAATGTCCAAAATATGCACCCTGCTATCATCCAGCCCACTCCCCCTTCGTTCCAGTTCTTCTTGAGCCTCATCCCCACAGGTCGTAGGACTCCCCACCTCTTTGTGGATGAAGTTATCTTCATGCTAAATTTATTGCATATTTCTTCCCTCTTTTACTTTTGTGCTGTGATCAAACCCTGGCATTTCCCAAGCACCCAGGGACAGCCCTCCGTTCTTTCTGTGGTGGCTTCCCCTGCAAAAACAGTGGCAGAGAATCCATTTCTTTATTTCATCCTTTCCTTTGGACAATTCTTAATAAGCAACAAAAATTTCTTGTTTTCTACCTCTCCTGTTGAAAATATAAAACAACCAGCACAACTAACCCTATGCCATGTGGCACATGTTTCTTTACAGGGGTTTCATCTGCATCTTGTTGGATGATGTGCACCTGATTTTTCAAGAGCATTTGCAAAAAACACTGAAATAAATAATTCATCTGAAATCTACTTACTAAGCATAATCATGTCTTTATATGTGCGGAATTAGTATTATATGTAGCCTCTTATCCATGTTTTTTACTATTTTCTTCTTTCCTCCCTCCTTCCCCACATTCTCTCTCTCCCTCCTACCTCCCCTCTCTCCCTTCCTTTGAAAAGCTTCACATATAAACTATCTGGTACAATGGGGTAGGTACTGGGGACACTGGATGCCCAGTTCTCTAGCCCAGGAAACATCTAGGGATATCTACAGTTAGCGTCATACAACTTTAAAACTGACAGAGACTGGGAAATTATGTGTGTCAGCCCATTGTTTTATCAATGAGGAAATGAGACTCCATGCAAAGGACAGTATTTAACTGTGTTAATACTGATTATACTCCTAACCTCCATATGGCACCTATTTTATATTTCTAGTCTATGGGAATCTCTGAGGGTTTTTTTATAATATATTTTATTGATTTTTTACAGAGAGGAAGGGAGAAGGATAGAGTCATAAACATCGATGAGAGAGAAACATCGATCAGCTGCCTCCTGCACACCCCCTACTAGGGATGTGTCTGCAACCAAGGTACGTGCCTACAACCAATGTACATGCCCTTGACCGGAATCGAACCAGGGACCCTTCAGTCCGCAGGCTGACGCTCTATCCACTGAGCCAAAATGGCCAGGGCTCTCTGAGTTTTTTATCAGAATATAAGCATCATGAGAGTGAGTGTATTGTCTTACACATGCTTTGCACTAAGAAGCCATTCAATGACCACCAACAAATGAATCATGCTAGATGTTCCAGCAAGGAAGGTGGTGGTTTCTGATTTGTTCACTGCTGTATCTCTAGTGCTTGTTTTGTGTTCCGTCAAAAAAAAAAATGAACCACGGCAGGGGTAGGGGGATGTTTTTGAAGGAGTTTCACAAGGAATTGACAGTTAGTGTTTCCAAACAGTGTGTGTGTGTGTGTGTGTGTGTGTGTGTGTGTGTGTGTGAAGAGAGAGAGAGAGAGAGAGAGAGAGAGAGAGAGAGAGAGAGAGAGAGAGAGAGAGAGATACCTCTGTGGCAGTCCTGGTTCCCTGACCTTACCCAGGTCCTTGCTGACTTAGGTTTCTTATGGGCTGAAGCCTGGCCCAGTGGGCTGTTATATGAGAACTGTGCATTGCTGACCACTAGGAGGTGCTGTGGCCCCACCAAAACCCCTGAGATTGGTCAAGGACAGAAGGAATAAAGGAGAAGCTGGCTCTCAAGAAGGGTAATTTGGCAATATCGGGAGATATATTTGATTGTCATTACTGGTGGGCAGTGCTACTGCATGTAGTAGATAGAGACCAGGGGTGATGCTAAACATCCTGTCTTCACAGGACCCCCCCACAACAAAGGATTATCCTGTGCAATATGTCAGTAGTGCTGAGGCTGAGGAACCCTAGGCTACACACAGAGTTGTAAACTGTTACCAAAAGAGAAGGTGACCTGTAGACAATTCAAGGACAGTCAAATCATTCCAGTTAAATTTCCCCAACTCCATGCTGTTATTCACCTCTATCACTTCTTTACCTATCACATCTGACTTCTAACTCCCTAGCAGCTCCTTATTCCCCACATAGCTCTTGCCCCTGGACAGATAAGAATATCACAGGTAGTGGGGCTGCAGTTTACCCCCCTCAATCAACTCAAGGACTATTAACTGGATTTGCTCCTAACTAGCATCAATCCAGCCAACGGGAAATGGCCTGAAGCTGTTTTTCGGGGGGGCACCTCATAGTCAGTGTCCCACAACTGACACAATGTCTGAGAGTAAGTCCGATATTCAAAGGAGCCAGGATGTGGGTGGTATCATCCTGCATTATTGTGAAGGAGCCAAGGCAGACTCTGAGAGGGGGCCTGAGAGGGAGAGGAAGAGAGGACGTGGCCAGATGCTGGGACTGGGACAGCAGAGGGAGGCAGCTGTTGGCACAAGGATGACGGCAGAGAAATATCCTTGAGACAACATGCCCTCCCACTCAAACTGTCCCTAGAAATCCCAAATTCCTTTAAAGGAGAAGTTAAAATTTTTTTTTAAAGGAGAAAGTGTAGGAGGTGAAAAGGGAAGAGAGCTCATGTGAGGAGAGCTAGAGAATTGGGAAATCATTCTAGGCTGTGACGTTACAGCAACGCACCTGTCAGGGCTTGGAGCACTGTAGCCTGGTCTTCTTACCACTGGAGAGCAGAATCCTGGGCTAGGGCCTTGCCTGTTTGCCCCGAACCCACCATGGGCTCCAGGCTCCTGTGCTGTGTGGCCCTCTGCTTCCTGGGAGCAGGTGAGTGAGGGGCCCAAGTGGCAGGATCCACTCTGAGTCTCTACGCCCTTTCACCTCTCCAGCATCAGGCTGCCTCCTAGGACTTGTCTGAATTCTGCCTCTTTTCTTCTCAGGTTCCCTGGACACAGCAGTTTTCCAGACTCCAAAATACGTCATCACGCGTGTGGGAAATAAGAAGTCCCTAAGTTGTGAACAAAAGCTGAACCATGATGCTATGCACTGGTATAAGCAGGACTCCAAGCAATTGCTGAAGATTATGTTTTCCTACAGTAATAAGGCGCTCATTCTAAATGAGACAGTTCCAAGTCGTTTCTTACCTGAATCTCCGGATAAAGCTCATTTGAAACTTGATATCAACTCGTTGGAGCCGGGTGACTCTGCTGTGTATCTCTGTGCTAGCAGCCAAGACACAGCCCTGCAAAGTCACTGCCTCCCTGTGCACAAACCTGCTGGCCCAGCCAGGAAGCTGTGGGAACAACGTGTTCACCCAGCACACCCTGCTGTGAGACCCCTGACTGGAGTTTCATCTGTAGTATAGCTCACAGTACACAATAGGGTAGTTCTGTAGTTGGTATGCTCAAAAGTCTTCCCAATTCTACTCATCAGCTAGAGCAGGGGTTTCTAGTAAATTTACTGAAGTACTCAGGACTCTGCAAACAAGTAATGGCCCTGTCCCAGGCACTGAAGATCTTAACTGATGGAAGAAGCTATTCCTTTACTTTCTCTGCTGTACATATTATACGTAGTATGCATATTACACATAACAATATTATTAAAAACATACTTCTGGCTCAAAATGTTTGATGAGTGAAAACTAAAAGAAGAGGTGAAGTTTCTAAGACCAAAAGGAAATTTAGATTATCAGTGAGTTCCCTGGTTAATATAAAAATATTTGGAGAAGCATGAAATCCATGGCAATAGATAAATTAGACAGAAAGGGTGAGGGGGAAGAGCCAATAGAGGTACACTTGTGCATTGCAGGCTCTCTTTTAGAAGTATGACCAGTATGATTGTTCCTAATTCTGATTGAGTGTCATCGCAGAAGTTTCCTCCAGAGAAGACAGTAGCCAGATGATGGAGAGTATTATGAGACATGGAAAGAAAAAATGGGCACAAATCTCTAGGTAGTAACTAAGCTAGTCTTTGATCCTATCTTAAGTAAGATAACGTGATAAAATTTTTATTTTGGTACCATAACAATGGTAGTAGTATGGGTCAAAAGGGGAAATAGATTTTGGGTGGAATGAACTACTAAAGAAACTACTAAAATATTCTACATGAAAGATATAAAAAGATTTCTGTGGGACATTGTGGGTGATGTAGAATAGAGACTCCGGATTACCTTATGTTCTTATAAAGAGTGTTAGGATTTATCCTGGCAGGTTTAAATGCAGGATTTGCTAGGATTTATTTTAGTTTGTCCCTTTATTTTAGGGAGCCCTAGCATCTGTCCTTATTACTAGTGCATGGCCTTTCCGGGGCCTCAGTGGGAATCACAGCGTATTCGCCAATGTGACTGTCTTCTGAAATCTCAGCTCTACAGCCTTTCACCACCTATTTTCTCCTGAGCCTTCTAGAGTCAATCCTGTGCATGCACATTAGAAACTGGCCAAGGAAAAGGGATTTCTTTACATGTATTCTTGGGGCTCCTTTTCAGAACTCTATACCCCAAATCTGAAATGTCTTGGAATCAGTTATGTCTTTCCTAATTACCTCCAAGCAACATATGCCATTACTATTTTAAATAGACAATGTTTGCCTGCATATACTTATATGTTTACCATTCACTTTTTCACTATTCCTTCATGCAATCAGACCACCCTTAGATTATTTTCCTTCTTCAGGCATATTCCCTAATTCAAATAACTTAAATTCACCTTTCACCTACCACTTGCTTTGGGAAATATTTATTTTAGCTAATGTTTCAGGGCAACAGAGCTTTTCACTTTCACTCATTGTTTGAGGTTTCAATCTAAATTGTGTTGTTTGTCATCCTTGGAATTTTTCTTATTTATTGGGAGCCAAACCATGCAATGAAATTCTATTTATTCAGACTTTTGCTGTTTCATGTAGAGCGACCAGGTGGAGTGTCTTCTTGTTACAGAGGATATCCATCATCATAATTGTAATAGTAACAATGTTATCATTTTAATGAGGGTTAATTTTAGGTTCTTATATGAGAATGGATTATCTCCAACTATATTGGATTGGATGCCTTCATATATGCAACAACCCGTCAATACACAACATTCTGGGAGAATGTCCAAACCACCTTGCTTAAATTCTAACCCATTTCCCTTTGCATTTTTTTGGTCCACATGAAAAAATCTCATACAACTTGTCACATTATAAAAATGCTAATATTTTCCTTCTGACCCAGCACATCCCTGGGCTAAAGAAAATTTAATTATCAACTCTTGACTTAAAGCATGTATAACTACCCTCCTTCCCCCCAACATAGATAGATATAAATTCCTGTTACTCCAGTTTGGTAATAAATACCTAACATAATAATAAATGGTAAAAATCATTTAGCAGCTATAGATCATTTCATTTTTATGTTTATTCATACATTTAAATTTTCTAAAATAAAAATTCAATGTTGGCAAAATGGTACATTTAAAAATAGCTGATATTCCAATAACTAAGCCTATAAGAAGCACAAACAGGTAGTTCACATAGTGAAGTAGAAATGGCTCACAGTAGGTCATCCTAGCTAGTCCCAATTTGGAAAGCCATCTGTAGAAATGATGGGCCTGGTTTGATTTCTAACATTTTAGCAATGGACAGGTCTTTGGGGGTCATATCATTGCAGTCCCTCTCATTTAAGAGTTGAATAGAATGTCACACATATAAAGTGATTTAATCACTTGAGTACAGAATACATTTCTCAAACATCATATGATATGTTTTATTCCCTGGTCATTATTTGTGAGTGTGTTTGATGACCTCACTACAATAGAGTTCTGTGGGTGAACATGATGTGTTATGCTTGCTCATAGCAGTTGCTCAGTGAGCATTTGTTGAACCAGTCAAGCTGGCCTATAAGTTCCACATAGGCTGGGGTAGTATCCGCAGGGCTGTGTTTTGTTTATTACTAAGAACCCAGACATAGCCAATTTCTGTTGAGCAAACATTGGCTGTCCGAGGTATGTGGATGAGCGGTACTGTTGCCAACTATTTTTGAGATTTTGGATGCTTCTTTCCTCTTCAGACTTCCCTAGGTTTTCATATCCAGAATGAGGAATTGGTCTGCATTGCTGACACTGGGCTGGAGAGAGGCCTGAGATCTGGGAAATGTGCCGCTTTGGCCACAAGGAGGAGCTGTGGCTCTATTGAAACCTCTGAGCTGGGAGGAAGGGAGAGGACTGGGAGTCAGTGGAGGGGTGGGATGAGGAGGGAAGCTAGGGCTTTGGGACTCCATCTTTATGTCATTTAGGGGCATCAGTTGTAGACATCCCAACAATATTAAACTAAAATCTTTTTCAAATTGATTTCCCTTTGTCTTGCACCAATGCCTGTGTTCTCTTTTAGCAACCTTTTTGCTCTAAGCCCAGCCAAGCCTTGTACCCTTAATACAGAGGCAGACTCTGGTTGTCCCTTGTATGGTTCCCTCAGCACCCTTCCCTGTGTCTGGCTCTGGGCCTGCATCACAATCATGCACTTTAAGTGATGGGCACTATTCCATCCAATCTACCTCCCTCCATGCAGTTGGGCAAAGGCCTCTAATGAGCCTAGACCAGGGGAGGGCAAACTTTTTGACTTGAGGGCCACAATGGGTTCTTAAACTGGACCGGAGGGCCGGAACAAAAGCATGGATGGAGTGTTTGTGTGAACTAATATAAATTCAAAGTAAACATCATTACATAAAAGGGTACGGTCTTTTTTTTTTTTTTTTTTTTTTAGTTTTATTCATTTCAAACGGGCCAGATCCGGCCCGCCGGATCCGTGGTTTGCTCACGGCTGGCATAGACACTGAGGGGAAACAGAATTTTGAGCGAAGTCCTGCCTAATTGAGCAGGGAAGGATGGAGGAAATTGTCTGTGGCTGATAGGAGTCCTGGCAGGAGGAGGATAGAGAGAGAAACAGTATGATGAGGAAGGTAGCTAAAAGCAAAAGAGTAGCTTCCAGAGGAATAACCCATCCGGATCCATTGAAATCCATCCTCTATCAGAATCTATATAAGGCATGAAAGGGAGAGGAAGGACTGTCCCCTGCAGCAGGGGAAACTGTCAGGGACAAGGACATCATAGGCAGAACCACCAACCAAGGCCTAGGAGAGCAGAGCCCAGCCCCCTGCCAGAATATCCCAGTTAGAAGATGCCACTCATCCTGATTCCACCATGGACTACAAGCTGCTCTGCTATGTGGCCCTCTGTCTCCTGGGAACAGGTGAGTCTTGGGCTCAAATGGCTGTCCTTGAATTCCAAGCCATTCCCCTGTGGCTGGAGCAATACCCTTCTTTCTAGGCTTTGTCTGAATTTTGTCCCTTTCCCCCCAACAGTCCTCATGGACACCGGAATTACTCAGATGCCAAGACACCTGGTCATGGGGATGAGAAGTAAGAAGTCTTTGAAATGCAAACAACATCTGGGGCATAATTCTATGTACTGTATAAACAGAGTGCTCAGAAGCCACCAGAGCTCATGTTTGTCTACAACTATAAGGAACTCATTGAAAATAACACTGTCCTGAGACGCTTCTCACCTGAATGCCCAGACAGCTCTCAGTTATACCTTCATGTGGATGCCCTGGAGCCAGAAGACTCTGCCATGTACCTCTGTGCCAGCAGCAAAGACACAGCCTTGCAGAGTCACCTTCTGCCTGTGCAGAAACTGCCTGGGTCCAGTCAGGAAACTGTGGGCAACCAAGGCTCGGTTCAGCATTTCCTGTGAGAGCCCAGACAGAAATCTCAGAGCACAGTGCTGCCTGTCAATTCACTGGCTATGACAATGCTAAATCCCATGCAGACCCAACAGCCTGTGGCGTGGCCTTATCTTGAACATGACTATGCCTGGACAGAAATGTGCAAGTTCTTCATTATCTTCCTATCAGCTTGTGTCCTGGGAAATCTTTCATGAGGCACCTCACACCCAAGTCACAGCAGGCCTCCCAAGCCTGCTTCTAATAGATACCTTTCCCTGACTTCTCTTTCCAACCAAGTTAGACCCGGACACAGCCCTGATCCCAGCTCCAAATGTGCTCAGACCTTTTCTAAAACACCTTCTTCCCTCACCTTGTGGCTTTGTCAGTTCCCACCACTGAGGATAAGTTTCCTCATCCAGTTGGGTTGTTTTGCCCTTTAGTCTCTTGATCAGAACTGTGAGTCACAGAGTCCATGCCTCTAGATCAGTGATGGCGAACCTATCACACGTGTGTCAGAGGTGACACACGAACTCATTTTTTCGGTTGATTTTTCTTTGTTAAATGGCATTTAAACATACAAAATAAATATCAAAAATATAATTCTTTGTTTTACTATGGTTGCAAATATCAAAAAATTTCTATATGTGACACGGCACCAGAGTTAATATAGGT